TAAAATGGAATTTTCATTCTACTCGTGCTTAGAAATATAGCATCATAATGAATACATTCATACAAATGTAAACAAACTCACAGACAATACTGCTTATCTTTATTTATACCAAAGAATCCCACTGTACTAAACTCTACTTAATCTAAAAGTCATGACTTGAAGCACTATGTTGATGCCATCGCCCATCAATGAGTCAGTTTTCAATAAGTTTTAAGCCATCAGTTTTAGATAATTTTTTAACCTACCCAGGTAGAATGTGCTTCTATCCCTCCTCATAATGGCTGCATGTGGCTTCTGCCTGTGGGTTTTGCTAGTGTCTCTCTCCCCAAGGATCTTTACTCCAGGGAACAATTAAGTAAGGTTATGAGAAAAATCAGTCTATGCTCCAGTAGGAGATTTATTGATGCCAGTCACTGGATTTGAAGTGCTGTAAATCTACAGCTCTAACATACTAAGGTATTATTGCTAAGGTTTTTCCTACCTCTGGATACATCATTCTAAATATATTTAGAATATTTTTATCTTCTATATTATTAGTGTCAATCTTTAAATATGACTTTGAAAGATAGATTGTAAATCAATTTTGAAATTATTACAAAGCATTTTTCAATGCAGAAGTGGTGGGACAAAGGGTAAATAAAAGAAGCAATGATACTCAATAGCCACTATTTAAAAAATGAACTATACAATATGCAGGGGAAGGGAGTTAGGAAGGAAAAGCTGGCAGAAAATTGGGGAAGAGGTGACACTGTTCCAAAGAACTATACTCATTATCTGGCTTATATAAATGCAACCCCTTTGTACATCATCTTTACAATAAAAATAGATTATAAAAAGAAAAATATATGCAATTCTTTGAAGGTCCTGTACTTAGCACTATGTGTATAAGACATTTGATAAAACTCTTATGTAATTGTAATCCCTCTGTACATAATCTCTGTAATAACATTAAAGTGAATTAATAATTTAAAAATGCCTATGATTTATGATTGGAAGGGCTAAGTAATTGGCCAGATATTACTCATATGCTCATCATTTTAATGGAGCTATTAAAAGAAATTCACTGTAGCCTGGAGCTGGTGGCTCCTAGCTACTCAGGAGACAGAGATCTAAGGACAGCAGTTCAAAGCCAGCCTGTGAAAAAAAGTCCATGAGTCTTTTTCTCCAATTAACCACTAGAACACCAGAAGTAATGCTGTGGCTCAAAATGGTAGAAAGCTATCCTTGAGCAAAAGATCTCAGACAAAACACCCAGGCTCTGACTTCAAGCCCCATGATCGACATAAATAAATGAATAAATAAATGAATAAATAAAAAGATAAAAATGCACTGGAATTTGAGAAATTGTCATAAAAATGGTTTATTTTTTCATTGGGTTAAACCCAATTGGTCTGCTTATTAATATAATTATTCAATAAAACTATTGATCATTCAATAGGTTCTTGATATATGCCAGCCATTATCCTAGCTATTTTAAAAAGTCAACATGTTTCATCTTAGAAGACTCCATTGGGACACTATTATTAATCTCATATTTCTTACTGAGTTATTAGGGAAGATTACTATGTAAGAACTTTATTGTAGGGCATATTAAGTAAAGCTTACCCTTCTTTTTACTTCTTTATCTCACCTTTCTGCTCTTTGTTTCCCTTCCTTCCTCCTTTCCTCCTTTCTTCCTTCCTTCCTTTCCTCCCTCCCTCCCTCCTTCCTTTTCTTTCTTCCTTCCCTTCTTCTTGTCTCACTCTTCCCCTTCCCTTTTCTTTTCTTTTTCTTACTCTGCTTTCTTCAATAAGTCTTATTTTCTCACACTGTGATAATCTTTGGAATCATCTTATAAACAAACTATTTTTCCTACCAAAGCAGCCTCTGATTCTTTTATTTTGAAATGTCATTTGAAACTTTTGCATTCTTCATGTGTTTATGTCTACTGAGGTATACCCATATTTCTAGGCCTTCTCAGCTGACAGATCTTAGAGATACATATGTGTGCACTAAGTCATTTACAAATATGTGTAGCTATATCTACATGAAAGTTTTTATACCTGGAAACATACTTGTCTATAATAAGCTGAACATGAGTTTCTTCTGTCTCTAATACAGTTCAGTGTCACTTGAATTACTCTAGACTACTCTCCCTGGTTATTTTAACTCGCTTCTCCAGTACTTTGAAACCTAATTACTTGTCAATCCATTTACTTGTTCTGTTCTATTATTCATGTATGCTGGTATGATAAATATTAAACTATATTCTTATAACAACTTCTTACAGACAGTGTGGTGCCTTTTACCTTCAATCTTGCTACTTTTGCCAGTATTATTTAGGTTAGCCCATTTTACGTATTTTAACAGAACACATTGCTTTGTCATATTCTATATTTTTAGTTTTTTAAGACTTTTTGAATATTTTAGTTGAAAGAAGCCCTCATTAAAATTACCCTTCATCCTTTTTATTAAAATAACTCTTTACAAATTATAGTTTTGGGTTTACTGAAAAATACATCTTGCCTTTATCCACCAGGAAAATGACATGCTGAAAGTTTTGCTACAGAAAAATTATTCTAGGTGCTTCAGCTACTTAACCCTTTCTGTCCACAACTTCTTCTCTCTAAGCCTCTGAAAGACAGCTTCTCCACTGTTTCCTTTCACATAAAATTCAAATTGAAATGATGTAGTCAGTCTTCTTAGATGAATGTCTTTCACTTAGCAACATGCATTTAGTAGTTTCTTGTTTCTTTAGATAGCTGATGTTGTCTTTCACTTAGCAACATGCATTTAGTAGTTTCTTGTTTCTTTAGATAGCTGATGTTGTTTGGATGCATAGTTCTGAGTACCATCACAAGTTGTTTCTCTTGTTGAAGGAATTTGGCTTCTTTTACTGTTTATTGATTATTTATTATTATGCAGCTGCTGTGCATAATCCAAACTTAGATTTAATTTCAGTAAATAGAAACAATTTGATAACCATCTAGGAATGTGATTGTGGAGACTGATTGTGAATTTCTTCAGCTCTCCTGCTATGTGTGCATTGAATTGATTCAGATGGGATTTTTAAAATATCACTCACAAGGGTGTTGTCAAATAAAAGTGGCTTCCATGGTTCCTCTTGGAAAAGTCAAACTTATAAATAATGTAAGCTCATAATAATGATTGAGGTAATAAACAAACTAGTAGACAAGGTATGGATTTATGATTCAAGAGAATCCAAGCTGATGAGCAGACTAGAGTTGTGGAGGCAAATTATGTAGGCTTCTTATGGTCACACAGTAGTCATCCCTAGTGTGTTACTACTAACTAAACAAGTGCAAAAACTAAAATGAGAGGAATGCATCTCAAATACCGGGAAGATTTTAATTTACAGATTTCAAGATCTGCCTAAGGCTTTTAGTAAGATTCTGTATCCAAAAATAGACATTGAAAGTAAGAGAGAACTGTATCCTATAAAAAAGAAAAATATCAGTCAATAGAAAGAGCACCTCATTCACATAAGCCAGCTTCCAAGGAGGTGGGGGAATCTCCTGCCCTGGCAGAGAAGATCTTCAACCATGTCAGACTTAAGGGGGGCGTGGCCAACTCTTGGACCATGCACCCACTGCCAATAGCTTGCAACAGGTCCCAGCCCTGAAAGGAAGGCTCAACAATTCCATCTGCCCCTCATATCTCTCTACATTTCCTCTTCCTTGGGAGGTGTGGGTGGAGGGAAGGAAGTACCCATACTTTCCCAGGCTCTCAACTCTGGGTCTTTCTTAGAAATGCCTGTTTTCAACTGAGGTTTAGTTTGATGGTGGTTGTGATGGTGTGTGATGGTGTGTGTGTGTGATGGTGTGTGTGTGTGTGTGTGTGTGTGTGTGAGTGACACCAATATCCCAATATCCTATGGTTCTAATTTTATAATTCTGAGATAAATTTTGTAACACGTATTAATTTTAAAATTGTAAAACTTACTGATCAAAATTACAAAGTAACATTACAAGCAAGAAATATGTTTTATAATGATGCAAGATATCTCCAGACATATGGTTTATTATTTATGATAGAATCATAAAATGTAAAATTTTATACAGTAAAGACTTAAACAATTGTATAATATTTATTTTATAAAATAAAGATTCTTAAAGAGAATGGAATGTTTTACATAATCTATCAAATTTAAAAATCAAGTACAGCATAAAGGTATATTCTGTAGTTTTCTTTCTCCATTTTTCTTTTAAAAATTAGATACTACATTAATTGAAAAGGTGACTTTAATATTCATATACTTATTCAGATCTTAAAGTCAGTGGTCATATTAGACATCCATGAAAAAGTATTAAGAAAAATATATTTATTTTAAATATTATTGTCTAATTGAATTAGATAAATTAGTATGAAAAGGATTTCAGTCATTTATAAGTTATGGCTTTAGAAGATGATTGTGATCGTATAGATCTATGATTCTCCAGTACATGCAAGAAGAAACAAAACAGAAAATCAAACAAAACAGCACCTGCTCTTCACTTGTCCATAATGTGTTGATTAAAATTTATCTTATTTAATTTCCATCTTGTCTTCATTCTGAAATTCTTTTTTCTTTTCTTTTTTTTTTTTGTGCCAGTCTTGGGGCTTGAACTTAGGGCCTGTGAACTGTCCCTGAGCCATTTTGCTCAAGGCGAGGGCTCTGCCTCTTGAACCACAGCTCAACTTCCAGCTTTTCAGAGCTTAATTGAAGATAAGAATCTCATAACCTTTCCTGTCCCAGTTAGTTTTGAACTGTGATCACCCCCATCTCAGACTCCTGAGTAGCTAGGATAACCATCCCAGCATTTGTGCCCAGCAGATCATAATACCTTGGTTGCCATGTTCCTCTCTAAATTCAAAGAGTTTCCCTTGGGTTTTTAATCCATTGCTCTTTAAATCTTAACTCTTCTTGCTTGCTAATGGGTGTCATCAAATATGTATCAGTCACCTAACCTTCTGTTAGATAAGACAGTAGCAGTCATCTCTCTGTTTACCCACCGAGCTCTTCATTCCATCTGCCTGATGGAATGGCCAGGGTGTGCCCCAAACCTCTTTAAGGCAGCCTTCACATCCTTGTTCCTCAGGCTGTAGATCATGGGGTTCAGCATGGGGATCACCAGTGTGTAGAACACCGAAGCCACCTTGTCGGTGTCGAGGGAGTGGCTGGTTTGAGGCTGCAGATACATGAACAGCAGCGTGCCATAGAACACGGTGACGGCTGTCATGTGAGAGGCACAGGTGGAGAAGGCCTTCTTCCGTCCTTCCGACGAGCGTATTCTCAGGATAGACAGGACGATGTTGCAATAAGATACCAGCACGATACTCATCGAAAAGAACAGATTCGTAGCTGCGGAGGTGAAGACCACAGTTTGCGGAAAGAAGGTATCAGAACAGGACAATGCCAACAGAGGGACATTGTCACAGTAGAAATGGTTGATGACGTTGGAGGAGCAATAGGACACGGAGAACACACAGGAGGTGACCACCACCGCGGTGAACAGGCCGTAGAGGTAAGTGAGAGACACCAGCAGGACGCAGACCTGCCGGGACACCACCACCGTGTACATCAGAGGGTTGCAAATGGCCACGTAGCGGTCATAGGCCATCACTGCCAGCATGAAGATCTCAGCCACAATGAAAACCAGGAAGCCGCCCAGTTGGGTGGCACATTCGTAGTACGAGGTGCTCTTCTTGGCTGCCAAGAAGTTGATCAGCATTTTAGGGGCAATGACAGTAGAGTCCCCAAGGTTGATGATGGCCAGGTGTCGCAGGAAGAAGTACATGGGGGTTTGGAGCTGAGAGTCCACACTGGTGAGCGTGATGATGCCCAGGTTTCCCGCTGCGGTCAGCCCATAGATGACCAGGAAGACGAAGAAAAGAGGGAGCTGCAGTTCAGGATGATCTGAAACACCTATAAGAATGAACTCAGTGACCCGAGTGATGTTTACAGCGGCCATGGAGGGGTTGGAAACACATCTGTTTGGATAAAGAATCAAAAGGATTGATTAGACACCTTCAGATATTATTTTCTAGAGGGAAATGGCTAGATTTTCTTGAGCTATATGTTGATCTAATCTAGTTATTAGTGCAAGTTTCTGGGGGTAAATGTCCTTGTATGGAGTGAGAAAAAGCAATATAATAAAGTATTAAATGCCCTAACCTCATGTATCATTTGAGGACTTGCTTTATGATGTTATTAAGTTATAGACTTACTAGTTTGTGAACATTTAAAGCCATGGTTTGTACCTTGGATCTTAAGTGTGAAATAAAAGATGAGGAAATGAATGATCCTGAATAATGCAAAGTATTGTGGTAATTTACTCTTATGCTGTTTGGTGAAATTTTAGTTTTCTTTTTAAAAAAAAAACTTTTTATTTTATTATAAAGATGCTGTACAGAGTGATTACAGTTACATGAAAGAAAGCTTATTTTTCTATTAACAAGTTTTACATGAAACAGCTTTTTATTTTGTCACAGTGTACCTTACTCAATCAGACTTAGTCCCTCCATGCATTTCCTTGATTTTGTCTCCCACATTCTCAAATCAATCTCAGCAAGCTTCATTGTTCCATTGTTGCACAAATACATGAAATGTTTCAACTCTGTCACCTGCTTTAGTCTTATGAGAGTTCAAAGCAGTCGATCTAAGTAATGGGAGAATGTTCTACTTCTATTAAAAGACTTGTATTTTTCTGCTAAAAAATTGTATGTGTTCCTCATTCAATTTCCATTATTTTGAACCTGCAAAAAAATTTATTAGTTTAAGGATTCTAGCTTAGGAAAAAAAAAAGATTGCTAAGTATGGCGGTTGGTACACTCATCGAGAGTAGACATAGGAAGACTGTGAGTTCAAGACCAGTATTGGTTGCAAATAAGACACTGTCACAAGAAAAGTACATTCAGTTTTAAACATGATACACACACACAAACATACACACACACACAGAGACACACACACACACACACACCTGAAAGTGTCAGAGGATTTGTCATCTTAAAACAGAAATGTAGATTTCTACATCTGAAGACCACCTGCTTATGTTAATTTCTCTTCTAAATGTGAGGTCCTCCTCTTTGACATCAATTAAAGTCCTTCTTTTAGGTACAATTTCAATGGAAATGTTAACAAATTTAATTTACTCTGATAGCTTAATCATGTTCCATTATTGTATTGATCACATATTAGATTATTCTATGCCTATGCCTTTACATCATGAGTTTTTTCTTTTTATGATCTCACTGTGTAGCCCAAACTGATCCTGACTAGGTATTTCAGATTGAACTGAACTCACTTTCCTCTTACCTGAACCTTCTCTGTGCTGATACTGAAGGTATATACCTTAATGCCAAGCCATCATAACATTATATTGATAAAATTCCAACAAAATTACAACATATAGTTTTATTCTTAATAGAGAATATATTTAAAAATTTTTGCGTAGTATTGTGACCATGTTCGTGTCATAAATATTTAATTTTGTTTTTTGATAGTATATCACCAACCAACTTATCATATACACAAACTCACTAAAGACCATTGTTCCAGTCATGATATTACATAATCATTATAAGAGACATAATGAGACTTCCAATTTGAAAACATAACCAGCAGATCATATTGAATACCTTGCACTGCTAAGAATGTTAAAAATCTTACAAACAAATCTTAACATACATCTTATATTACTCATTTCATATAATTCTCCATCTTCTTATATCAAAGTGGGGGGACTCATTTTTTTAAAAATCAACATGTTCTACCCACCTCTAAAGGGGAATGACTTCATGTAGTTAGTGAAAATTCTCCTCATAGCTGAATCCATGTGAGCTGATGTGCCTCTATAAACAAACTGTTGACATCCTAACTTGAAGCCTTGGTGACTCCAAGATCCTCACATTGAATTCATGTCCCTAGGGGGCTGAGATGCTCCCTGAGAGCCAACCCTTGCTAGGTTCTTCTCTGGGAATCCATCTAGCACAATCCTTGGGGGCTTCTTTGCTGCGATCTGAGTCTTTCAGTAAGGGACACAGTGATTAAGATAACTGGCAAAACACCTTATTTACAGGTAGAGATGGTTAAAAATGGAATACTTTCAAGCCCAGAATATGATAGTTTTGCAAGCAAATTAAAATAAATTATAACACTACAGAATTTATTTCATCAGCTCCGTGATGGATATTTATTCATTTCTGTTCAAACAATAAATTGGCAAAGTTATTATTTCTGGAAGTAGTATGCACTGCATACAAAAAGAGGGTATGTCTTAAAACTCTTGCTCTTTCTTTAAGCTTCTATTTCAATTGAGACACTTTAGATGACTGCCTGAGAAGAATCAAACAGTACAGGACATCAAGCCTTTGTGTAAAGATCACTACAAATGTATCACAAGTGTATTTTCTATACCTTGAAAAAATATGTATGTTTTGTGCATTTAATATATAGTAGAGATATTTAGAATATTTTTGGAGAATAATTTTTCTAGATATATACATAAATGTTATTTTTTAAATTTAATTTTATTGTCAAGGTGATGTACAGAGGGGTTACAGTTACATATGTGAGGTAGTGAATAAATTTCTTGTCAAACATTGTTACCCCTTCCCTCATTTTTCTCCCACTTTATAATGTATATATATATATAAAATATACATTTTTCTAGAATTTTCTAGAAATTATATAATTTTATATAACATGTAATATGATAATATACTATTGTATATTATATTAATTTGTTTATTGTTTATGTGATAATAAATTATATTAAAAAATTTTAGTAAGCCTGGTGCTGGTGGCTCATGTCTATAATCCTAGCTACTCAGGAGACTGAGATCTGAGGATCGCAGTTCAAAGCCAGCCCGGGCAAGAAAGTCCATGAGACTCTTATCTCCAGTTAACCACCAGAAATCCAGAAGTGGTGCTGTAGCTCAAGTAGTAGATCTGAATAACTTGAGGACAATGCCTAGGCCCAGAGTTCAAGCCCCACAACCGATAAAAAAGAAAAAGTGTCCAGTGTGTATAGATAATGTTCAGAAATTGTTCTTTTCCCATCAATACTTCTATTACTCCAAAATTGTTTCCTAATATTTTTTGTTATAAATTTGCTTAATTGAGATGCCAGGTAACAATGATCATGACTTTTATTGCCTTAGATAAAGCTTCTCTAGGGATGGGGAGTTCAGTTTTTGCTATTGCTGAACAGTATTCTGTATTTTGAATATACCATAATTTATGCTTTCATATTTCACAGTGGAATATTTCTAATTTTTACTGTTTTGAAGAAAAATGTAAGCAACACAAATGCAGATGTTATTCTGGACATATTTTTTTTCTGCTTGCTGGTGAAATTAACTCCATTACAAATAACACAGTTATAATGGTAACTTCAGTAAAATTTAATAACAGGTTTCTTAATAGGTAATGAACTAAATACACATATTTTCATGTTTAGGGATCTTGATTCCCTTCCATTAGCCCATTTACTGATTTATTTATTTACTTGAAAAGGAGCATTGCCTTGTATACTGTAGGGATTTTATAGTTTCTTGGTCAATATTGAAATCAGCACTGAGAGTTCCCTGTTGGGGTGTGCCTTAAGATGAGAAGTAGCCTATAGCTATGCAAGATCAATTTGATGCTATACCCTAAGGATAAGCATATAATCTTTCTTGTCTGAGAATAATCACCATGTTGTCGTAGTTATTAAAATATGAATGTTATGGTTTGATGCCCAATGTAAAACAAATTTGTTAAAGTTACATCTCAATATCAAATATCAAATGTCAAATGAAAGGATAAACTCTTTAGATATTGAGGATAAAATAATGAAAGAGACAATTTTCTTTAGCTGGCTGTCCTCAGCTACTCAACACCAAAGTCAACAGCTTCTTGTGTCATGCAGAAAATTAAAGAAAATCCATCAAAAAAGAGTGTTTCATGTGTGTGAGTAAAGATATAAGGTATGAATAAAGTATAAATATATAAAGTATAAATATGTAATAAAGATGTAAAGTAAGAATTGAAGCTATGCATTACAGTGATTGTGTACTATATCAGCCTGGAGTGGTGTAAAAGTTGAAAGAAGCTATTTGACAGAAAGCAGTCGGTCACACCTGCATTCCTATTCACTGAGGAAGCTGAGATCTGAAGAGCATGGTTTGAAACCAGTCCATGAAACTTTTACCTCCAAATAACCAGCAAAAAGCCCGTATTGGAACTTTGGCTGTGGTGGTAGAATGCCAGCCTTTAGCAAAATAAGTCAAGGGAGAGCAAGAGGCTCCGAGTTCCAATCCCAGTACAAGCACATGTACACACACACACACACACACACACACACACACACACACACACATATACACCCCTTCATACACAGTGTAAAAAGCATTGCATTACCTTGGATTTTATGTCATAATAAACACACTATGGAAACAAAAGAGATTTAGAAATGAAAACAATTATTTAGTGTATTTCTTCATCTTTAATCTGTATAATAATCATCATTTATTCTTTAAAATAGACATTCCAGTAGAAAACCAAATGACATTTATTTTGATCATTTCAATCCTAAATCCGTGTATTGTGAAGCTAAAGAGTGAGAAAATGGGGCTGGAAATGTGACTTTGTTGGAGACTGCTTGCCTAGCATACATGAAAGCCCTGGGTTCAATTTCTCAGTACCACACAAACAGAAACAAAACAAGTTGTGCTGTGGCTCCGGTGGTAGAGTGCTAGCTTTGAGTACAGACAGACTCAAGGACAGAGCCCGGGCCCTGAGTTCAAGCCCCAGGATTGGCAAAAAAAATAAAAATGAGAATCTGCCAGAAGATATAGAATTGTCTAGTACCTTTGCATAGTTTCTTAAAAACAATATTAGATAACCAATCTAACCACGATATAGAAAGCATTACCTTGATTTGATTAAATCCCCATTCTGACATGGAATGTGTCACCTCATTCTTAGCCAAACTTTTAAAAACAAGGTGCAATGTTATGTTATAATCACGTATTTACTTACTATCTTGCTTTCTGTTGAGCCAATGCATTAATCACATACAAGCTTATTTAAATTTTCTACCCAGTTACTCCTGTAGAATATAAGTATGTATGTATGTATGTATGTATATATATGACTAATTCAACTCTGAGACTTATATAGAACTCTGAAACTCTAATGTCAACCAAAAATCTGTATGACTTTCATTAGTTGTAGCTACTATAAACACCAATATGATTTGGTCTTCATTTATCCTTGTTTGTTTGTTTCTTTCTTTCTTTCTTTTTCTGTCACTGGGGTCCTCATGCTCTGGCTCTAGCTCACTGCTTTTGTTCTACAACTTGGGCCATGCCTCCAGTTCTAGGACAATATTTTATATATGACAAAATATTAAGCAAAGGCTTGGGCCCAGCATGCCACAAAATATTAAGGTATTAAGTGGGGATTTTGCATTTATAAGTTAATGCTCTCCTTAGAGCATCTTTCACTTCTTTATTCCTTAGACTGTAGATCAGTGGATTCAGCATAGGAATGACTAAGGTGTAAAACACAGAAGCCATTTTATCAATATCAAAAGCGTGACTGGATTTGGGCTTCAGGTAAATAAACAATAATGTCCCATAGAACACAACCACCACTGTGAGATGTGAGCTGCAGGTGGAGAAGGCCTTGTATCTCCCTTCTGCTGAGTTCATTTTGAGAATGGCCACAAGAATAAACAAGTAGGATATGAGGACAATCAGCAGGGAGGAGAGCAAATTGCAACCTGAGAAAACCAAAATGATTAGTTCTAGTTCATGTGTGTCAGAGCAGAGCATAGATATCAGAGGAAGACAATCGCAGTAAAAGTAACGGATAACATTAGTCCCACAGAAGGATGAAGTAAACAACTTAACCGTGAGCAATAGAGACACAAAAGTGCTGTAGAGATAAGAAGTAAGGACTAAGCCCCAGCACACTTTCTCCGACATGATGATCACGTAGAGAAGAGGTTTGCAGATGGCTACGAATCGATCATAGGCCATGGCAGAGAGAATGAACAATTCACTGATGATGAAAATCTCAAAGAATGCCAGCTGGATGGCACATCCATTGAAGGAAATAATATTCTTGCACATCACAAAGTTGATCATCATCTTTGGTCCAATGACAGTGGAATAACCAAGGTCAGTGATTGACAAATGTCTAAGGAAAAAATACATCGGGGTATGGAGCTTAGAGTCAGCATGGGTGAGGACAATCATGCCAAGATTGCCCATCACTGTGACCATGTATATGGTGAGAAAGATCCCAAACAGTGGCACTTGCAGGTTGGGTTTGTTGGTGATCCCCAAGAGAATAAATTCTGTGACTTGTGGTACTATGCTGTGATTGAATTTCTCCATCTGATTCATCGTGGCACCCTAGATAAAGTATAAAATCATTAGGAATTATATATAAAATTCTGCCATCTAAGATAATTCATAGCCAAGTCAATGATAAATAGGACAGTTTCTTTCTCTCAAACCGCCAATAATTATCAGGCCAAAAGCAACACACATCAGCCACTGGCACTCATTCATTCATTCCTCCTTTGAAATGTTGGTAGTATGCTCAAAAACAAGTAAATATTGGAATGATTAGTTTAATCCCAATTCCTTTGAGTTATGTCAAACATCTATTTTTAAAATAGCTTTTTTTCCTTTTCTTTTCTTTTCTTTTTTTTTTTGGTTGGTCAGCTTAAACTCTGGGCCAGGACACTGTCCTGGTCTTCAGCTCAAGGCTAGCACTCTACCACTTTGAGCCACAGCGTCACTTCTGGTTTTCTGGTTGTTAATTGGAAATAGAGATAAGAATCTAAAGGACTTTCCTTGACTGAGCTGGCTTTGAACCTCGATCCTCAGATCTCAGCCTCCTAAATAGTGAGGATTACAGATCTGAGCCAATGGCTCCTGGAAACTTTTAATTTTTTAAGTAACTTATCAAAAAAGACATTCACACTTACATCATAAGCCAAACCTTACTGTCATTACCTCTGTGGAAAGAAAGGAGAAATGAGAAAAAATATGCTCCTTGTTCCACATGAATTGTGATCAGTTGGAGAATAGTTAGAAAATCCTCGAACATTAGACATATGCTTCTAACTATTAAATACAAAAGTGATGGTTCATGTTCATTTTAGAATTTTGCTGTATCATTGTCTGCTTTTGCTGCGTTTACTTTTTTCATATTGAATTGATGTTTGTCATCCTCTCCAAGCCAAACATACCTCTTCTGCACAATAAAGACTTGACTGAACATTTATAGTCATTTAAGGAAGAATCATGACAAAAGGCCCAAACACAAGAAGAATACAAAGTTGGGAATTATAAGAAATACAACATGTGCTAGGCAATCTACTTGCTTTTCATATGAATTTATACAGTCTATATGACTTTCTAAGGATCCATTTGTAACAAAAAATCCACATTTAACAAGTAGGAAAACTGATGCTTAAAGAGCAGGATAACTTAGCAAAGGTCAATCCTATCTAAATGGTAGAACTCCAATTCAAATAAAGCTTCTCTGTCTTATGACTCTTACCTCGTAAACACTGTGACACATTATTTCTCCAAGAAGGGCACCTTGAGTTGATTGGAAATAAGGAATGTATGGGAGCAACATTGTTTAAAAATGACAGGCAAAGGTTCTTATTCAACTAGATGACTGGAGAAGAAAGTTAACCCTGAAAGCTAAAGTGGTCTAGAAATAAGCAGCACATACATATTATTATGGATTGCATAACACTTCTAAATATCAAACCCTCTGATGGACAGTATGTTGCAAAGGGAGAAATATTTCTTCCACATTTTTCTGGCCAATAATTAGTTGTAAAAAGGGTTTTATTTTGACATGTCTGGACATGTGCTTGATCAGATTTGCTCCCATCATCCTCTCTCATTTTCCTTCACCCCCTACTCCCGCCCAAATTAATACCAACAATTTCTACTGTTCCATTTGTACATACATTACATGAAGTATTTTGAAAATATTCACCCTCTACAATCCTCTCACTTCTCCATTTCCCACTCCAACTTTCACCCACACAACAGACAGGATCTGTTTTATACTACCATCATTAATTTTTAGGTGTCTATTAATTGCTCAAAGAGGTTGTATACAATAAAAATCAATATAAATACAAAAATAAATTCATATAAGGTTATATGCAAGTGTTCACAAACATATTAATGCAAATGTGGTTTATACAGGGGAGAATTCAAATGGTTTAATTCCTTAGAAAAATAACTCAAATCCAACAGAATGAATACCAAGAAGCTGGTACTTGAGATGGGGTTGGGGGAAGGTTAAGGGAATGTGGGTGCACAAATGAAGAGAGAAAGGGAGGAGAATGAAATCATAATATTCAAGGAATTTCCTATGAAACTAGGAAAATTGAGGGGAGGCTAGGAGTAGGAAGTAATAGAGAAGAATGATGAAAAGGCTGACATTGGTCAAGGTGCATTTTTTCATAAACTGATTTTTTAAATAGTAACTGTCTAAAATTAATAACAAATTATCTCTAGATACTATATTACCAAAGGGTATAGATGAATGTTAAGACTTTGGTAGATTAAAAGCCCACTTGGATCTTTGTTGGAGATAGCCCAGTTTAATCTATGCAATCTTCAAAAAATTCACAGATATTCACTGTATGTTTCTGCTTACCTTAATGGAGAATCAGCAGTCTACTGATTCAGTCCTGTAAGTTGTCATTGGGTAGATTTAAGTATGCTTTTCTTTTTTACTCTCTTGAGACTCATCATATTGAAGTTTAAATGTGATTCATGGGTAAACAAATTATTGTACATTATTACCCAAGAGAATTTAGGATGTATCTATTAATTATTCCACTGAATGTTCCATCAAGAAAAGTAAGAAGTATTACATGTTTCAGTCTATTGGAATAAATAAATCTATTTATATCACAGAACACTGAGAATCACAAATTTGTCTGTCAGTATCTTAGAAATGTTAAGAAGCAATTTTAAAGTATGCTGCTACCACTTATCCTATCTACAAAGAAAAGAATAATGTTTGATAATATCCTTACTGATCTTCTATGTATATTTTTGTTCCATTCTTTTTTTAATTTCCTTTTTATTGTCAAGTTGATGTACAGAGGGATTACAGTTACACAAGTAAAGAAATATGTACATTTCTTGTCAAACTTGTAACTCCTTCTCTCATTTTTCTACTACTTTCACTCCCCGACCCCAATATATTTTTGATATGTAGTTATAGGTTGATAAAAAGCAAAGTCCTAGGAGATATATTGTATCTCTAAAGAAACCAGTGGTTAAACAATTTTTTCATATATTTTCTGGAGATTTGATTTTGATGCACCTACATATATTCTCTTTTTTTATTTTTCTTCTTGGAGTTAGGTCATTTTAGTATTTTATGCCTGTCTCATTGGGGATTCCTTTAAAATTGTATTGGGAAAAAATTCTGAACAGCAACCATGTATATGCTGTGTAATATAGTATTTTCTCTCCACTTATATCTGTTTGAACATATGGGAAGTAACTTGTTCTTGTTCTGCAGATAGCTTTGTTCAGTATTTTTGTTTCTTCTCAGAAAGAATGCAGAGCTCTTCATTTAGAATAGTTGCTATTTTGGTATCCGTAAGCTAAGTCATGTTTCCTTTTTCAGCATATAACCTTATAATATTCTGATTGCATAATTATATGTTTCTTTTCTATATTCTTGTATTTTTCATCTATAGAAATCTACTTTGATAATTTCAATTTTTTTTATAATGCTAATTATTTTTCCTTATATTACTAATATTTTGTTACACCATTCTGTATTTTGAGCTTATTAATATTTATTGTTGTAACATCCGCTCCTGTAAATTTTTATCACCACTGTTCTTCCAAGATATTTTTAAATTGCTATTATATACTGTCACATGATTATACTTTCTCTTATCTATTCATTGTTATTGAATACTGAATATTGTGAGTCTTACCATAAGTTCTATATGTTGTAGAACTTTTTCTAAAGGTTATAACTATTTTAATAAAACTCAGTTGCTTTTATTTAAGATTTGTGTTCCAGCTCTTAATGAATCTAAAGCTGCTTTTGTCTCTAACATTTCCACTGAAGTCACAGGATTCAACAAGGATTCCACTTTCTGATTCTTTAAAATCCAGTGTCTTCCTGTGGTATAGATTCTGAGAAATCACACTTCATAATGTTAGGCTGGAGATGAAGGTAAGAAATAGAACAACTGTCTGCCACGCAGGAGTCCCTGATGTCAAATCCCATGATTGCCCAAAATAAAACTGTCACTTTACAATGGTAGGACATTCTTTCTAAGACCGTACTGGTGTTCAAAGTATACACACAGAATTCAGAGTTCAGTCACAAACTCAAGGGGAAACTTTGAATGGAGAAAGCAAAAAAAAAAAAAAACCATAAGAATATATGACACATAAGTAACGAAGTCAGTAGATGGAAACAACTAAAATTAAATCAATTGAATGAATTAGAATCCAAAACAATCCATAGAAAGAATCAATAAAACAAAGAGTTGGTTCTTCAAAAAATTAACAAAATTGACAGACCCTTAGCAAATCTTAACAGAAAAAGAAGAGAACACACTCAAATAAATAAACTCAGAGATGAGAATGGAAACATCACCACAGAAACAACCAAGATTAAGGGCACTTTAAGGGAATACGCCTCAAAGCTTTATGCTAATAGGTTTGAGAATGTGGAAGAAATGGACATTTTCCTAGCAAATATCAACATGCCGAAACTAAACCACGATGAGTTAAACCAACTTCCAGGCCCATATCAAGTATCGAAATTGAAATAGGAACAGCAATAACAGACCGCCCATCTAAGAAAAGCCAAGGACCGGATGAGTTTACAATGGAATTCTACAAGGCCTTCAAAGCAGAGCTCAGACCAATACTCCTCCAACTCTTCAATGAAATTGAAAGAGAAAGTTCACTATCAAACTCATTCTATGAAGCCATTACCCTCATCCCAAAACCAGGCAGGGACTCATCAAGGAAAGAGAACTACAGACCCATTTCTTTGATGAACACTGACATAAATCTTCTCAACAAAATCGACTTCAACAGTTAATCAAAAAAACCATACACCACGATCCAACAGGATTCATTTCAGGGATGCAAAGCTGGTTCAATATACACAAATCAATATAATTCATCACATCCACAAGAACAAGGATAAGAACCACGTTTTTATCTCAATAGATGCAGAAAAAGCACTTGACAAGACCTAACATCCCTTTATGATGAAGGCTCTGGAAAAACTAGGAATCCATGGAACATTCCTCAATAAAATAAAGGCTGTCTATGACAAATCTACAGCCAGTATTATACTTAATTGCAAAAAA